TTGCTGGAGAGATAAACACAGAACATGTGGGCTCGAATGATCAATGGGCAGATTTGTTTACAAAAGCTCTAAGCTCAGGGAAAGTGAACTATCTATGTAACAAGTTGGAATTATATGACATATATTCTCCAGCTTGAGGGGGAGTGTTAAAGTGAGCCGAATAGGGGTAGTTTAGTCATTTCATGTTTGTTAAGTACCTTGCTTATGTGGCAGTTTTATTAGAGATACTCTGCCCACACTCAAGTAAGGGCAGTTTAGTCTTTGTAAAGGTTATTAGAACCTAATAAACATTAGGGGGTCGAATTAACAGTGAATCAATCAGTTTTGACCCTCCTGTTCTCTCTTTCTCTTTTCTTCTTCTTCATCTTCTTCTTCCTTCTCTCCTGGTTCGGGTTACTGTAGCTGCATTCGAAACAGGTATCAAGTTTCATGGGTTTTGATTGATTAATTACACATCTAGGCTTCTAGTTTTATTCCTCTTTCTTGTTTTATCATGTTTATAAAATGACTTTCTGGGTTTTTGAATCTCCAACAAAATACCTTACTTTTCTTCTTTCCTTTAAGTCCAACATGGAAAAATTGCTGGCTTTCTTTTGGGTTTGTTTATAGAAACTTGCATACACCTTTTAATAGCATATAATGGAGAGTATATGGGTTCAGTGCATTGTGGTGCTTTAGAGCAATGTTCTTAACCCATAGTTGACCTGGACCATTGGGCCGTCAACCTGACACTTGGAAGGCAGGCTAGGTCTGTTCAACCTTAAACCTGTAATGTCCTTAAAAACTGTGGACTTGGTCAACAACCTGTTGATCTGACGATCAAACAGTTGAATTGTTCAACGTATCGATGGTTCAATCCATTTTTTAATTTGAAGTTTAAAAATCAAAGAAAAAACTAGAACTTTTGAGGCTTGCACAAACTAATAGAATGGGTAGAGGGTAAAGGCAATGGGGAGTCAAAAAAAAAATATAATTGTTGATTGGTGGCTGTAAAACATAAACAAAGAGGGGGAATGGAAGATACTGGTTCCAAAGAAGCTGAATGGAAAATGGAAATAGCATGAAGATTGGAGAAGAAAGAGAAAAAAGGGGGATTGTAGGTTGTTGGTTGTGTAGACGCTGGTTAGTAGAGAGGGAGACTATGAAAGGAGAAAAAAAGAGGGTTTGCACATCCACTGGTAGGTAGGCCACCTTAACCCTTCTTCTCTCCTTCCACTGACCAGATCTACATGTTTACTTTGGTTAGGTGTACATTTTTTATGTATAGTAGAGATGATTTTTTTTGTCCTCCCTCATCTGGGACCATTAGAACTGGGTATACAAGATATCAAAACTAGATTATATAAAATAGATACCAATCTAATGTATGCCAATTATCTATGGATTAAACTGTTTGACCTGGACAGAGGGAAAAGCTGATCTGTTTCCATGTTGGTTGGTTCTTAAAACATTGCTCTAGAGGCACATTTTCCTCACACTTCTGTGTTTTTCACAGGGACACGCCACAAACTTAGTTTCTGGACTAATAATTATTCTTTTTTTACTGTTTAAAATCAATGGTTAAGAGTGATTGGGTGCAACAGATGGTTACAGTTTAAATCTTGTAAGAATCAATAACGGTCATGCAATTTACACTGCATGAGCCTATTGCTGCACAACACATATGTGGTGCGTTTTGGTGCTTTAGAGGCACGCTTTGCTTGCACTTGCATGACCTGCATGGGGATGCATGCCACAAACTTGGTTTCTAGACTGATAATTTTCTTTTCTTCTATTTAAAATCAAAGGTTAAGAGTGATCAGGTGCTATCAATAGCTGCAATTTAAATCTTCTGAGAGTCAATAACTGTAAAGCAATAAATGGTAATTTCAATTAAACTCATGACTGTACAAGTGCCTTTTAAAGTGACTCTCCAGTATCTATAAATAGTTGTGAGCAGGAGTGTTTTCAATACCGTTTTTTTCTTTGCCAATCCAAAATTGCAGTGTCTTGTAGAATATTTCTCTGAAGGGGTTCCAACTTTTCTGGTCGTTGTTCCTCACTGAAGACTGTTCTGTCCTTGGAATGAATTTGCCTAGAACCTGACAGATGACTTAGTTCACTGAGGGAGGAAAAATTACATTCTAAAGATAGAAAAAGAGCCTTTATTGCTATTCCATCTTCATTTCTGAAGCTACTTTTCCCAAATGCACTAAAAGGAAATTATAGGTCCCCATACCACGTAATGGTGCCCAAATTTTGTTTTCTATACCATTATGGACTCTTGTCAACATTCTTTGACACAATTGTATGTATCATATATCTTTGTTTTCAAACTTCAACTACTATTTGTACGCTTTTTTCCATGCCTATCCTTTATACAATGCAAAAAGGAAAAAGAGCTAGATCATTGGAAAGGCATCACACTATCATGTCTTAACTGTAAAGTCCTGACTTATTTTTGAATTTTTTAATGTTCTGTATTGATTACCTAGAATCTGCTTCTGGTGCTATTATCCTGGTTGTACAGTCTACACGAGGTGCACCTATATAGGATAAGGGACTAAACTGGTAGTGGGTCCTATCAACAACTTATCCTGATCTTAGAAGGGAAAAAAGGAAGAAAAGCCCTAACAAAATGATCCAACCATTTCCCTCATTTACCTAAAAAAATCTAACCATTTATTACAATACATTTTCTTAGTATAATGAAGTAAATAATAGTTTCAACAGGCTATGACAACAGTATGCGTCTCATATTCTGGGTATCAAATTGATTCAATTTTTTTTGGTGTCAAAGATCTCTAAGTAGAACTTAATCTGGTCCAGGTTATCCAAATGAACATCCAAGAGGTTATTCGCAAACAGATTGCACAGGAGCTTAAAATTAATCAGTCAGCACAATGCCCATACGTGGTTGTCTGTTACCATTCTTTCTATGATAATGGTGCCATATCAATAGTCTTCGAGTACATGGATGGTGGTTCTCTGGCAGATTTTCTAAAGAAAGTAAAAACAATTCCAGAGCCATATCTTTCTGCTATCTGCAAGCAGGTGGGCGTTCTTTGTTTCTTCCTTTGGCCTGTGGACCTATATGGTTTGTTTATTCCTTTGCCTTGTGGATCTATATAGTTTGTTTCTTCCAACTGTTGCTTCATGAATGCAGGTGCTCAATGGTTTGTTGTACCTTCATCATGACAAGCACATAATTCACAGGGACTTAAAGCCTTCTAATTTATTAATAAATCATAGAGGAGAAGTCAAGATAACTGACTTTGGTGTGAGTGCTACACTGACAAGCACCTATGGCCAAGCAAACACTTTTGTTGGTACTTACAACTACATGTCTGTGAGTATACTAATATTTGTGGGCAACAATTATTTCATTCTTCTTTTATTGTATATTTCTATGTGTTCCTAGATATGTTTGTGCATAAGCACAGCTTGAATTCCATGAGTAAAGGCCACTTATGTGGACTTTTTCTTCCACAGCCAGAGAGAATACTTGGAAACGACTATGGCTACAAGAGTGATATTTGGAGCTTGGGAGTAGTCCTACTAGAGTGTGCAACTGGAAAATTTCCATATTCCCCACCACAACAAGAAGGGTGGACCAATTTTTATGAGCTTATGGAAGCAATTGTTGATGGACCACCACCCTGCGTGCCTGCAGATCAATTTTCTCCAGAGTTCTGCTCATTTATTTCAGCATGGTACATGGAAACAGGATGAAATATGTTCAAATTATTGCGTACACCTTAATTGACATGTTTTTTTTCTCGAACTTAGTTTTATTCTATATTCTTTTAACAATGAAACATGACGCTATTTTTTTTAACAATGAAATATACCATACATTCTCTTTTTTATTCAACATTGAACAGTTGCAGAATTCAACTTCCCCTAATCTGGATATATGCATCTTTGTTCATGAAGCCAAATTTGCCATTTCTAAGATTTTGTTGCCCCTGATCTGTCCTCCCCACCTACCACACATTTTATTGGATTCAGTTTTGACGGTTCTCAATGCACTTAACTCCCTTTTTTTTTTTTTGATGAATCAATGCACCTAACATCTTCCATAACTGAAGGATTGTTCATCAGTAACATGGAGATTCTATTTTCTATTTCAGTGTACAGAAAGACCCCCAAAATAGACAGTCAGCACAGGAACTTATGGTATGTAATACTCTAGCACATTCTACCTCATTCCAAATGGGATATTTGAGGAGAAAAGAAATTGTTTCATGTAAACCTTCTTGACTGATAATGTTTTTGTTGATGTGCAAACCAGAAACATCCTTTCATCACTAGGCATGAAGACTCAGGTGTTGACCTTGCATCTTACTTCAGAGATGTTGCATCTCCACTCGCTACAATTGATGTTTCCATCTGGTATTTCCCACATAATGTGTTTTATTTCTGTCATAAATGTCCACTTTATGATATCTACCTATAATTGCTGGTGCTACTGCTAAGCATGGAGTAGCTTTTGAAGTGTACTGCTGCTACTGCATTACCTAAGCTGGAACATGATGCATGAATAAATCCTTAAAATCCCGTGGAAACTTTAAGCTTGTTTCCTATCATTGTTCTTCTGATAGTTCAAATGACCCAAAAATTTTCAAACATAAACCACCCTCATACATTGATGGACTGAATCAGTCATTAGGGCACTGGATTTGCACATTAGGACCAAAATAATAAAGACCATCCCCATTTCCTAAAAGATAAAAGAAAAAGATAAGCTGGAATCCTTGTCCAACATTTGCCAACATGTTGCATTGCCCCCTAGGATATGACAACTTTTTTCGTTCTTAACTTCCATATACATTCACAGTCAAAACACACTAAAAGGCTGTTTTATGATTTTTACTATAAACCCATTTTCATCTAATGAAATATATTTGCACCAGCACCTTTACATCAAGATGTCATTAGGTAGCTCTCAATTTAGGTGTTTTTGCCAAATATTTTCTTCATCCCATAAGCAGTCGATGACTAAATAGATTGACATGCTCTTCGGTGACCACTTCATTATTGGCTTCTGAAAATCTTTATTTTCTTCATGACTTCAGCTTGCTGTTCCTTATAAAAAATCATTCACACAGGATAAGATGATGTTTATGATGCCATATTATTCAAATTTTCAAACTATAACAATGTCAAGTGAATATGAATTAATGTACCCATAACCGGAATGCTTTCTGTACTTGTGGTTGACATACGGTATCTTTCCTCAGATATCAGATTCGGAGGCAGAGCTTATCACAGCGTTTTATCAAAGACGAGGAAAAAGTTGGAAGGAGGAAGAAATTCTTACGCTATTGAAAAGGGATGTGGGGGACCAGATCTTAAACATCAGCAATATTTCATGGAACCCAATGCCTGAAATTTGGAGTGAGACAGCTTCCCTGAGAATCCCGGGATTTTACTTTTCTTGTTTTGCTTTTTTTTTTTTTTTTTCAGGGTAATCCAGGATTTTTGCTCGAAAGAAATGTATCATCTGTAATTCTTGTTTGAGAAAACGTGAGTGCTGCCATTTGAAGTTTGAACTTTGAATTATGCAGACAAACAAATAAACCCAACCGTGATGCAAAATTATTTCTGCGCTTAGGAAAATCTCTGATGCCCAAAAGACATTATTTCTGCGCTTAGGAAAGCCTGTGATGCCCAAAAGACATGATACTGGAACAGGCCGTTTGTTCGAATCAGACGGTTGAACTGTGGTTAAAACGGTTCTGATTCTGGGTCGATGTTTAAAACCATGATTTGGAATGACTCCATTCGTCGAGGTGACATCTTGCAAATGTGGAAAATGTGGCAACAGACAGCAATGGCATTTTGCCAAGGTCCATCTGCAAAAAGAAAACCCCATCCTCGTGTTTAAACTTTAAGTTAAGGTGATCTGAACGATCATAATAAACATTGCAGCCACACATGGAGAATATCTCCCATACATTATATTGTCACTCATGGGGAAATTCCCAATGCACCGCTGCAATGCACTGTAAAATTGGTATGAGATTCCGAACAGATGGCTTGGTTTTAGATTTATACTCATCAATTATATGCAAACCTAAAAGCTCACAAGGCTAAACTCTAGGGCTGTGTTTGGAAACGAAGCAAATAAGTGAATGCAAATATGTAAAGTGTAAAACGGTTCATATAAATTATAAAGTTGGGTTAGTTTTACACGGGCAAATTTATGTTGTTACCAAACAGACCTTTTAGCTGTAATGGATGCAAACATGAACTTCAATAAAGCATATGTTTTTTTTTTTTTTTTTTTTATCAAAAGCTCACTTGAATGCAAATTTACTTCTTTTTTTTTATTGATGTACTTTTATATCAATACAAATATGTACTTTTTCATCTTATTATCAATGTATCATTTGTCAATGCATAAATGTAATGTTGCTAAATACATGCAAAAGGTCATTTGTCAATGCATAAATGTAATGTTGCCAAATACATGCAAAAGTAAACCAAAATGAAATTTATCCTAAACCGGGGTTTACACTCGATTTGCATCATTTTCTAACACAGCCTAGATGTATGAAGATGATTTGATGAGTCAAAAGATTCAAAAATATGCATAGCATTATTAAGTACCAACCTCCACTTCATATATTCAATAGAAGGGGAAACAAGGTCCAGGAACATCATCTCGTCTTTCTTAAAACATAAGAAAGGATTCACCTTTCAAACGAATTGAAATTCATTCATCATTACTTGTATTCTGATTGGAAAAAATTACTAAAAAAAGGCATGATTTATTTTTTCTGTGAGAAAAAGGCATAGATTACAGCTTGTACTTTTATTTTTATTTTACTTGCATTCCGCCTTTCCTAACTCCCACGTTGTTGCTTGGAGAATGCCTAAAACCTACCTTTGGTTTTAGCTTTAGGATGAGCAATCCCTATCACGTGACGGAATAGAGCCCATGATATGAAAGTCAAGGAAGCCCCACATGCTTTTGAAAACCCTTTGCCATGTGTCCAAGTTAAAACCCACTTCTCTTCGAACCCGAGTCTAGGCAGCTTTGTTTGTATTTCTAAGCATTATTTTAACAACTTTAACCCTGGAAGGAAAGCAGTAACGTAGGCTCAGATCAGATCAGATGCCTCTGTTTTATTTATTATATCAATTATATATTGCTTCAAGATTAAGACAATGATGATTAAAATTTAAAAATGGTGGCATTGGGTATTGGTATTTGGTATTACAGTTCTACTCGTTTTTAGAGTTTTGATCGAACATCATATTACCACCATCTCCATGCCGTTTAAGAAAGTCGTCACACTTGGTATTGCATTCCTTCCTAATCCCTTCATTCCTCCAATTACTCCAAGACCTCTTGCAGTTGCAGTCTTGCTCCTGGTTGATTGGGAGCTCTCATGCACATGACACATTCACATAACTTCATTCAGTTTGTTGCTTGTCTTTTTAACCTTAAGCCCTTGGTAACGAAACGTGTCATAAGTAAAAAGCTCCCTAACAGCCAAAGTTCTCCCCTCTTGCCCCTTCCACAAGCACATCACAACAGCTGATCGGTCCCTCCGATCCGTCGTCTCCAACTCCACCCCCACAAACACGGCCAGGCCAGGCCAGGCTGCTCTGGTCTCTTGAGTCATTAGACAATGATGGGACCCGACCCGGCATCCCAGTTCCAGGTATAGTGCGGCTATCACCAATTTCAGTGAGATCATGGTGATGATGTGGGGTTGCTGCCGTGAAGAAAGAAAATAGAGGATAGTCACAGCTCACAGTCAGATGGGACCATTCTGCCGCCTCTGGTGCTGATGATTGTTGCCTGTTGGGCAATCACTAGTAAAGGAGATAATTGATAGTTACAGTGAGGGAAGAAACAAAAGAGATGAAGAAGAAGATGGATGGGAAAGGTATCTACTTCTACGTGGCATTCCATGATTGACACACGATTCAGTACAATATACGCTGCCCGGGTTACCAAGTTGCGCAAGCCAAATTCGATTCCAAGTCCAATTACTTAACGAATCCACCATGTCTCTCTCTCTCTCATCACATTCTCAGTTGCAAAATCTCTTGTTGATTGCAATGCGTCCCCACTAAACTCTTTTTTTAAGTGGATTTTGAAAGCAGCACGGCAGTAGCAAGGTCAGTAGGAACAAGTAACGCTCATTTAACAGGCTTATTGACAAAAATATTTTTGGGAAAGAGAAGTTAGATCCAATCAAAATGGCACAATGAACAGGAAATGAGGGAACATCGTAGAAGCTGAAAATGAGGAGCCTTTTGAACATGATCATAAACCCATCTTTGGATCTTGCTAGTTCTTTTACAAGGCACCATGTTGTAAAAACGATGCAAGTGAAATACCTCACAGAGCCTTCAACTCGGAGGCAGTAACGAATACAATTAACCAGAGCTCTAGTGCAAGGGAAAGAAACTCTCTCCCCTCATCCTACCCTACAACAGCAGCTCAAATTTACATGGCCAAAACTTGGCATGATGTATGAAATGAGAAGGGATTCCAATATGGTGCAGATCCTATAGTACATATAGAAAAACTACTCTTGTACACCCATTAAGCCCAAGTGAAAAACAGATGGGCAGAGCTATGTTCAATGGTAGTAACCATATGAACTTTGTGGAGTTCTATATCGCACAGTTATAGACCAAAAGACAAAATTAGCAGTGAACTTACCAATTACCATCAGGTTTTGCTCTTAAACTTTCTCTGAGCTTTCAAATCCACCACAACCACGGTAATGTTGTCCTTGCTACCTTTCTGAAGAGCAAGCTTCGAGAGGAATTCAGCTGCTGATTGAGCAGCAGGATCAACTCCATCACCCCTTTCTGCAGGAAGGGTGATACCATTCTTTTTGTGCCAGAGAAGGATTCGCCTTCGAGCCACTTCACAAACCTCCTCATTTGTCATAACATCCCATAAACCATCACTGGCTAGAATCAGACATTCGTCTTCTTTTGCTCGAGGAATAAACATGACTTCTGGTTCTGGAATGATGCACGGTTTCAAATATCTATCACCTGTATCTCAGAACAAGTTAGTGACCAATGCTAAGCACAACATATAATGATGTAAACATTTATAAGCAACTAGAATTAACAAGACTCAATTAATCACAAACGTAGCATCTGAGAAGAAAAGAAAGGAAGATGTATGTGGTGGGTTTTTGCAGACCATGAACATGAATTTAATTAAGCCTACCAGGATTTTGCATTTTTTTATGATTAAACTAACAAAAACCACAATTTCCATGTTGGGACATAGGCCCTGTCAAGCCCAGAAATGCAGTGCTAAAAATATGTAATTGACAAGAGAATAACAATGACCCAACATACCAATGGACCTTGACATTGCAAGAACACCAAATACACGATATCCATTCCATTGTATGACCTTGCCTCCAGCTGCTTCAATCCTTGAATACTCGTCTTCCCTATTTGGCTGTAAAAATAAAGTAAATAAATAGGACCAGTTTTCCATAAAGAGGCAGATTCATTTATGAATTCCATAAACAAGAATTTAAATTCATGCCTTACTTTATGATCAACAGACAATGGAATAGGCTCTTTGCCGCGACAGAGGACTGCTCTTGAATCACCACAATTTGCAACTATGATGTGTGACGAGCAAATAATAGCCACCACAGCTGTAGACCCAACAGTTTCTGGTGCAATAGGTTCAGGACCAGGTTCAGAGGTATCATCCTTGTCCTCTACACCTTCTCTGCCAACTCTTCCTGCAACCTCATCATCAACTTTTACAAAGCAACTGGTGAATGCTTTCTCCCACTGCAGTTTCCAATTATCAGTATTACTTCCACCATCCATACTTTCTTGCAAGGTTTCTATCTCCTCAATCAAAGCCGAATGGATACGTTCACGACAGTAATTAGCAACCTGCTTAAAGAGAAGCAACTCCATGAAACAAAAGTGAATTGGCACATGTCTAAATGCATAAAACATATAAAACAAAAGGATTCTTTTTTTTTTTTTATCAGCACATGTAAAACAAAAGGATTTAAGAGTAACAAAGGGAAAAAAGAGCACCTGAGAGCCTCCATGGCCATCATAAACTCCAAAGAAATGAGCAGTTGAGTGAATCAACTTTTGGTTCATACCATCCACAACATGGTCATCTGTCAGCATTTTAATAGGAATTTTCAGAAACCAAGGTACAGTAGCAACAGCATCTTCCATCTCTGGTCTTCTTCCACAGATAGATGTACTACCCCAAAGAGGTATACAACTCAATTCATAAACACTGCGCATTCCTGTTCTGCAGATCCCTTCCTCTGGAGGCAACTGAAGAACCACAGCCGATGCCTTTCGATCAAACCCTTCTCGAATCTCAACCTCAAAGCCCGCTGGCACAGAAAGAATTTCACCCATGGGCTCCTGGTCAGTATTTAAATCCCCCAAAGTGGCGGACTTTGCAATAACATGAGCATTTTCGATGTTCTTCTCAACAACCACAGAACTTGGTGTGCTTAACTCACAAGCTGTATCAAAAGACAATGTTTCATCGCCACATAGACTACTGGTATCACTAGCCACAGAAAGAGAACAAGAACTATCCAATACTTGGTCGCCCCCCACAGAAAGAGAATCATCTTCCTCGATATCATGAATTGTAGCATCAGTACCAACCCAGTTGCTTTCATTATCCGGGATTTCCATCCCAACCGATGCAGTAGCTCCTTCCCTGCCGTTCTGCTGAGGTGCTGATATGGTTGCAATACCAACTTCAGTACGTTGATCACTACAATTGCAACCTTCATCTCCGCTACAAACAGATTCAGAAGAGTGCTTGGCAGCAGGATCCGACAGAAGACTTGCTGCGTCCGTTAATAATTTTAGTCTTGTAATTTCCATGTGGGTTGCAATAGCAGAATTATCACAGATTGTATTACCTAACCTAAATGGCACTGCAACCGCTGGAGACATCTCCTCCATCAACTCCCCTATCTGAGTAGTAGTAGTAGTAGTAATAGTAACCTTTCGACCCCTCCAAAATCACATAGCCTGTCATTTTCCAACCACTCCATCTCCTCCTCCAACATGCAACGATCTCCAAAGGAGACTTACAGGTTTGAACAAGCAACCTTCCATGCCTAGTTAACTAAATGACCCAGTAAATAAATTGATTCTAACAATCAAGAGAGGAGATGAAATCGCCAACCCCCGAAGAGTAAATAAAAGGAACCTAATTGCGCCTAAAACAAACGAGCTAAGAAGTACAACGGAAATGGGTTGTCAGATCTGGTGAGAAACAACGGATCCAGACTTCCATTTGGTGAAATTTAGACACTGGATAGATGGGTTAGATCCCTCTGGACTTCACCAACTTCCTTCTGCTTCCTCCTGGAATCTTCACTAACTACCCTGTCAACTAAAAGTGAAAGACAAACAACAAGAGCAGACCCCAAATCCCTACCAACCCTTAAATTCAACCAAAAGACGGAGAAAGAAAATACAAACAAGATTAAATTCAACGCCTTATCTATAAGCACAAGATAGAAGACAGAAAAAAAGGGGTCATGAGAAAGAACCCAGGAAAGGCGAACTCCCAAGAATCACAGGAAGACCCTAAAAAGAAGAAGCCCTTTTCGCATAACACCTGGCTTCCCTGGATCTGAGGTAACCCATCTCAACCTCTTGAAATTTGGGTCTCTTCTCCTCTCTTTTTCACCAAAACCACTTCCAATTAACCAGAAAAAGAAGCAAGAAAAAGGGAATGAACAAAAACAAAGTCACTACATACTCTTCTCTCTCTCTTCTTGAGTACTTCGCAGGAATCTTTCTTGCTTCCTAATAGAACTAATACTGATAACAATGAAAAAAACGCTTAAGAATAAAAAATAACAGATGTGAACTTCTTACCATCTGAATGAGAAGCACATATGATCAGTGCTACTTTCCTTCTTTTTATTTTATGTTTCTTTTGGCCATGAAGGCTTAGCAAGATCAACAGAGGAAGGGAGTAGTAGAGAAAGAGAGTTATAAAGGAAGAAGCAAAATAAAAAGAAGAAACCAATAAAGATGGAGAAAGAGAAAGAGAGACAGGTGTCGAATCAAAGGGCATATTAAATTTAAAGGCATTTCCAGTTTTCCATCCCTCCCCCCGCCTCCCCCCCCCTCTCTCTTTCTCTCTCTCCATCCATCCAATGCTCAATAATAAATCACATAAAGTAAATAAGAAAATGGCGGCTTTATTTACAAAACTACCCTTAAATGTCTTTGACTGTTTCTGAGGGAGAATAAAAAAACCTTGAAGCCATCACAAACATGGTTTCTCCACCCTTTTTCATTTATATTTTCATTTTATTTTTTTCCTCCATTGAAGATGAATAGTTAAAGAGTAATGGCTTAAAAAGAACTAAAAATAAAACGACAATTTTATTCTTGTTAGGCTTAGGCCCACATAGATCTGCATCAAATCTAATACTTTGCCCTCCCTATTCGTGTGGAAATTAAAGAAATTTTTATTTTGTTATTGTTTGTATTAATGCATGATTTAAAGATCTTTTGACTTTTATATTGCCCTATAGTTTGATCCATAGAAGATGCATGTAGATGAGGAGAGCCATGACTTCATTATCAAATCAGACATTTAAAACAGAAAGAAGAAAATAAAATGGAAATACAGTGTAATTGTTCTAATACCATTTGTTGGAGGAAGTAAGAGATATAATGAAAGAAGTAAATGGGTCTAAGTGATCTCTGTGATGTAGTTGGGTTGGACTCTGTGAGAGGAGTAAAAGTGAGTAAGAAGACTGGTTGCATTATTGATGTCTTAACAAGTTTGGACTAGGGTTGATTTAAGTTATCCACATATGTATTTCATAAATTGTGATTTTGCTAGAGGAAAGCTTGAAATTTTAATTTTATTAGAAAAGTAAAATAAGGGGCTTTATGCTTTCTTTGGTTTTCCCTTTTCTAATAATTCTCTCTCTAATCTCAGAAAGCTGTTAATGACGTAAAGGTAACTTGTTTGAGTTCTAACACAATTTGAGTTTAGTTTGGTTTGGTTTGGTTAAGATTACTTCACTTGGATAATATAATGCATAGGATGTATATTGTATTCTATAAATAAATATAAATCTTGTAGTTTTAGTTAACTTTGCTTATTTGTTCAATGTATAAACAAAGGTTTTAAATTTCAAAATATATGTAAACCAGTAAGAAGTAAGCCAAGCCTAAGTTTAGCTAATGAACAAGAACAAAAACCTAGCTAAGTTTATATATATATATATATATATATATATATATATATATATATATTGCATCACATTACATGGGAAATCGAGGGGGTGGGGCAAAGCAGAGGAAATGTATCAGAGAGCCTACAGTTTTATGGGTTTGATCCTGCATCTCCTATTTGGAGGATACCAAGTGACTATCTTGACAATTGGGCATTGGCAGCTTGGATTTTTTTTAATAAGCAAGCTAGGATTAACACTCAACTTTTGAAATATGAAGTACATAATTAGGCTTATATTAGTCTATTGACAAGCCAAGTCCAAGAACAAAAAAGCAAAATTAACCCCACTCATGGACATGACATGCATTGAGATTGTAGGCACTAATGCTGACACAATTACAATTTATGCAGACAATGTATAATTTCATCAACCAGCAGAGAATCTGAAGTAACAAAGAGATTGAATTCATAGTGCATGTTTTGTTTAGGAGGGCATGTTTTGTTTGGGCTTTTCAGATTTTTCGCCAAATATTGATTATAGGCTATCTGGTTAGGGCCCACCTAAGCATGCACCAAGAATATAGCTATTATACTTTTCCAACCATTGACAGGTGACCCAGTTGCAGAGATGGTCACTTGGAACCCCTCCAAATAGTAGGTAAGATCAAACCCACAAAACTGCATATTCTCCATGGTATGGCCAATGGGCCTCACATGCACCCTGCTCTGTCCCACTCGGATTCTCCATAATGTATAATACTAAAAAAATAAAGAAATTAGTATGATCATCCAGTATATAATTAAAATGCATATAATGGCCACGAGTCTTTGATACACATGGACCAGATGTAAATGGGTCACACAGAATAAAATGTGAGTCCCTACCATGTTCAGCACTAATTTGGCCAAGAGTTTATGCAACTCTTTGCTTGTTCACTTCACAGACATGAATTAGAAAACAAAATTAGGCATGAATCCTACATTGTCTGCAGGGAGAGAGAGAGAGAGGTATCCAAGAGTTGTACAAACACATTCTTCTCACAAAAGTTTGTCAACTTCTAAAGTTCTGGAACTAGTAGGTGTGGAATTATAAACCAATATATACTTGTAACCTTCCATTCAGGTTGGTAATGGTAGTGGGTTCATAGTCCCAACTGAATTTTCCTGCACTTTCTCTTACATTTTTCCCTGCATTTTCGAATCAGTGCTTTACAGGTTTTCTATTACAAGTTTGTAAATATGACATCTTTCACCGAATGTAGAGAAGTGCAGGAAATCATAAAATTTTGTTATTTTCAGGGGGTCATGATGATAACATTTAAAGAATATTAAAATAAATACTGCTAAAAACCATTAAATTCTGTTTAAAACAAAAAGAAATTGTGTATTAACTTAGGGTCCGTTTAGTTTGTAGTTGGAATCAGAATTGGAATTGGAATTGGAATCAAAATCCTCCAGAATCGGAATTGGAATAGTCCATTCTCATAATCTATTTGGTTCAGACAAGAATGGGAATGAGAATTAAATTCAGCAGAAATGAGATTCCATTCCCAAGGAAAAGGCAGGGAATGCCTATTCCCTCAAATGCGAGAATGGTATTCCAGTAGAAATAGGAATAAGATTTCGATTCCACCCAATCAAACAGTTGAAATCGGAATAGCCCATTCCGATTCTGATTCCAGACCCTTATTCCTGCAAACCAAACGGACTCTTAATCCTTGAAACATTTTTAAAATTTGAAAATGTTCCGAAAACTATTTTTTTTTTTTAAATTTTAGTAGATATAAAATTTTAATTTAAAAAATCATTATAAGAAAGAATAAGCGATTGATTTTAGCTTGCAAAATGAATTTAGGGGCCCTATTTATATTATATATATATATATATATATATATTTTTTTTTAAACCTGTGAGAAGTGAGAACAGTATGCAAATCAGCAGAGATATTATGAGTATAGGATCTGGTCAAGTGGTCATCTTTGGGCCTAGAAGAGTTAAACTGTGGGTCCCAATGTCTACTCAGATACGAACACCGATATCTCGTGGTGGTGGTGGATCCCACTCCCCATCTCCAATCCCATCTCAGGAGGGACCCACATGCCCAGGTCCATAAAACATTGACCCAATTCGATGTCCCTCTAACTCTCACTCTCCCCCTTAAAGTCTTTATTTATTGAAAATTTCCGATCTCTTATAAATAAAAAAGGGAAAATATTCGTCAACTTTCAAAGAAGAGAAAAAGAAATATAAAGGGAAAATCCTAGCATATTTCAAAAATCACCGAAATAAAATAGTTCGTCAGAAATCAATTAGAAAACCTCACAGCACAATTGCATAATCTTATTAGATCAACGGCTGCAAGTAATCCACCTGATACGAATCTTTTTTTTTTTTGGTTTAGGTGGGGCCAGGAAGGAACACGCGCCACGTATTCAGATGCTTCCCGTGGAGAGCTGCGGTTATTTCGTAAATTGAGATGAACGGGAATGGCAAAGATATATGTGGAGAGCGGGGAGGGGGGAGGTATTATTGTTGTCAATTCTTATTGGGCTGTACAGACCGTAAACAGGGTGCCACGTTGTCAGCTTCCGACACTATTGTCTCTGGTCTCTAATAGATCTTTGCCACGTTTCACCAGTCTCGAGATACGCCGCGGGAGGTGATAGATTTTGTTGGTGCTGATTACTCAACTAACCCTTTTATTATGTTGGAGCTGAAAACGACCCTTCTCTGTCTCTCTCTCTCTCTCTTCAACGTTGGCAATCAACGATTTCATGTACCACCTAGATCTGCGCCACTAACGATACTGTGCTAACACCATTTTACATCTGGTGGAGGAGTGACTTGGGTTTATAAAAATCCGATTTTGCTTTATTTAAATTAAGTTTTAAGTCAAATTTAAATCTAATATGCAAGTTTCTTTGCTAATTGAATCAAATTCGAGCCTAACAAATTTTGAATCATTAGTCTTACAAATCTAATGGAGCTTATATTATATAATATATTTTAATTTTTATATGAAACTTGATTCACTATCAAATTTGAGTTAAGCCAAGTTTTAATTATTCGAGCTCATCTCTCTAGCTTGAATTAAACTCAAACATTATATTTTTGTTAAAGTTTGATTATCAACGAGGTGAAATTGATCAAAACTCAAAAGTTGGAAATCAGGCATTCTCTATCATGCGAGAAGAGCCACCCTCATTAAATCCACTCTCTCAACAATGCCTATTTACCACATGACATGGTTGCCTACAAATTACAATATCCCGTGTGCAATTTGTCAAAAGCTGAACCCTATTTACAGATATTTTGGGCGAGGTAAGACTTTACAGAGTTTTTTAACCGTAAAAAGAAGATAAATTCTTAAAATAATAAAGCACTTATAATGAAGTTGGCTTTGGCGTGGAGATTTTTCAATGTCGCAAGGGCTTTATTTGGCTCCATCCCAGCTGGAAGGACGTACTTCTGCCTTTTTATGATGGATGTTCAAGCCACCTCATTCAAACTTTCAAAAATTTCCAACAAAACAAGGCATGATTATATCATCCACCGTAAAAAAAAAAAAAAATGGAAGTACACATCTCTGCTCCACAATGTCTTACATCAGTTTTAATACTATCTGTTGGGGAAGAATGGGGTCACTGTAACTTTGGAGGAGAAGCTCTGAGGCGCGTTTGAAGACACTATCTTTAGAACGTTATTTGTCCCCACTCAGTTTTACTGAGTTTGCTGTTGGGTTACAGGCACCCAGGATACAACAGAGTCTTGGGCGAGAATCTGCAACCAGCAAAGTTGAAGAGTCTTCAAAGAAACCTTCTGTGAGACTGTAGCAAACCGGACTGAAAAAGAGAGAGAGAGTGAATTTC